GCCTCCTCTGCGGCCTGCAGGGAGGCTTTGCTAGCGGCCACCGCCTGCTGGTACTCCAGCTCGGCGGCCTGCTCCTCCTTAGCGAGCCGCTCCGCGGCCTCCTTCCGCTTTTGCTCTAGCGCGGCCGCTGCGACTCTCTGGTCGTGCTCGGCCTTTTTCTCTAGCGCGAGCTTAGCTGCTATGGCCTCCGCCTCCTTGCGGGCCTTGGCCTTCGCAGCGCTAGCGGCCGCGTTGGCTGCGGCGAGCTGGTCTAGCTGGGCCTTTGCTGCTGCAGCGGCGGCCTCTGTAGCGGCGAACCTCTGAGTGAGGCCCGCGGACATAGCGGCATCCAAGCTAGCGATGTCCTCCTGGGACAGGTCGGCCCAGCTAGTAGCTGACAGAACTCGCCGCTCCATCAGGTTAGCGGGGCTCTGTTGGCGGACCCCGGCCCCTATCCACTTCCTGGGCGGGGACTCTTTGTCTAGCATCTCGATCGCCTCGTGGGACATAGCGATCAGCTCTTGTAGCAGAGGCTTGTCAGCCCCTCGGTGCACTCTGACGGCCGAAACCGTAGCGCCTTCCGCAGACCGCGGAGGGTCTCCGGGAGGTAGTCTCCACTAGCGGGCTCCTCGGCCGTAGCGGGGCCATCTGCTGGCCCTGCGCCCTTGGGCGATGTAGCTCTGGCATCCTTGCCTTTTCCTCCCATAGCGGCGCGTGAAACGGCTAAAGAAAATCTAGCTACCCCAAGGTAGCGAAGCCGAAGGCTACCCGTGGGAGGAGGTTTAGCACAGTCACTGGCTCCTGCGCCTAGCTCCTTTGTAGCCCTGTTGCCTCGCGGGTGTAAAGCCCGCACGTTTCGTAGCGCCTTCCTTCGCTCCTTAGCTCCTTCCTGCAGGACGGACCTAGCGCAAGCACTGGCTCCTCACCTAGCTCCTGTGTTCCCTGGGTGGCCAGAAGAGGGGTCTCCCGGCCCCGGTTTCCTAGCGCCTGCCTTCGCTCCTTGCTCCTCCTGCAAGACACTGGCGGAACACGAAAGCACAACACAGGCACACAGCAAGTGACATGTAGCAAGAACGTGGTTCCCTCCACTCTCTTCTTTCTCCCGCTCTCCCCCCCCCCCCTTACGCCCGAAGGCCCCCCCCCCCCCCCCCCCCCCCCACCCCCCCCCACCCACCCACAGCACACCCCTTTAAAGTCTAGCGGCGTTTCAAGGGAGGAGAGGAGAGAGAGAGGAGAGAGAGAGACGAAGAAAGAGAGAGAGAGAGAGCGAGAGAGAGAGAGAGAGAGAGAGAGAGAGAGAGAGAGAGAGAGAGAGAGAGAGAGAGAGAGAGAGAGAGAGAGAGAGAGAGAGAGAGAGAGAGAGAGAGAGAGAGAGAGAGAGAGAGAGAGAGAGAGAGAGAGAGAGAGAGGCAGAGAGGGGAGAACAGTGGGTTCCGACCTAGCAGCAATTCTAGCCTTGGTGCGAGTGCGAGTTCGGCGGCTTAGCACGCCCTGCGCTCAAGGATGACTGCTAGCGGACCCCGGTGCGTGATCCTCTGGGGCCTCGTCATCTTCCGAGTTAGCGAGCGATCCTTCGCTAGCGTCTCCTTCGGAGATAGCCCCTTGGTTCGGCCAGCATAGCTTGCACACATGTGTGTACTCGTGCGGCTCCGGAACCGAATCAAGAATCCTAGCGTTGCGGAAAGCACGTCGCTTCCCCATCCAACAACCTGTAGCGCCCGCTTCGTGCAGGCGGAAAATGGCACCTGGGACCTCTACGATTACATAGCTGCCCTGGCTGCGGTCGGGAACCCTGGCCTGCTTCTTAGCGGGCCGTTCCACGACCTCTGCAGAGGCCTCGGAGCTACTCCCGGCCACTAGCGGTTCCGCGGGCTCGTCCGGTTTTTTTCGGGAACCTCTAGCTCTTCCGCCTCGGTCGGGACTCCTAGCAGGCCCTCCATCCAGATCTTCCGCAGCCTCGCCGCCATATGGATAGCCTGGCTGTGGGTTAGCTTGGCCCTTTCTTCCAGCCAGGGCTCGAGGTCCGCGGCGATTTCACGCTCGTCGAGCGCCTCGTAGCGGTCGTCCCCCCTAGCTGTCTTAGCGAAGAGAGCTTGGAGACGGGACACCCTACCCGCAAAAGATCTAGCGTACACGTCGGACCCCTCGGGTTTCCAACGCCCTAGCAGATCCTTGTCTTGCGGGGGGATCTCCTTTAGCGCCAAACCTGTTGGTAGCACCGAGCGCTCACTGTGCTCCGTCCAATAGCCCTGGACCTCCCGTGGGTAGCCCATGATAGCCAGCAGCCCCGCGGTTGCCACCATAGCGTCCGCATAGGTAGCCATCTTCTTCTCCAGTTGCCCCGCCCGGCCCAGCCGCGGCATGAGGTAATCCCGGGCGTAGTTAGCGTGGGCCTTGAGGAGATCAAAGCCGGTCACCAGCCAGCTCTTAGCGACCAGAAAGGCGTGCTCTGACACCACGACCGGTAACTCCTTGACCCTCCTCGTAGCGCCGGAAGTCTTGGTCTTCCGGAGGATGGTGGTGAGCCGCCCCTCCACCATCAATAGCTCGGCCGGCAGGATAGCCTGAAGGTCCGACCATCTTAGCGTGGCCCAGACCTTGACCAACTTAGCCCAGGCCCAGATCCGCCAGCCGGCTGCCAGAGCGGGGTTAATGACTACGAGCTCTAGCTGCACCAGCATGTAGACGGGGTAGCGGGGTGCTCTCTTGATCAATGGGGCTCCCTCCGCTAGCTGCTCCACTATGCTGTCCTTAGCGGCCCAGACCAGGCGACCAAAGGTGGTCCTTAGCTCCACCGGAAAATCGGCCACCTTCTCCATCCAGGAGATAGCTTTAAGAATAGCTTCAGGGACCGAACGGCCACAGGGTTCATCACTCCTAGCGAGGAGGTAATCCACCAGGTCCGCGGCGGTGCCCGGGGGCGGCCTGAGCTTAGCTGCGTGGAGCCATTGGCGCCACTGCCTGTAGTAGCTCAGGTAGCGCTTCAAAGTAGAAGCCCGTGTCTTCCCCGGAAGCAACATAGCTGCCCTCACGGGGTCCAGACTCCCGTGCAGCTTAGCGAGAACAGGGGCGTGTATCTCTAGCAGCTCTTCACGGAGCTTCCTTGCCCAAACCTCTAGCAGTCGCTCCTCTCTAGCCGCACTGATCGTGCTGGGCTGTAGCGTCTTTCGATTCCGCTCCCCGGGGGGAGGTCTTAGCGGCACCGGTGGCTGATGCACCGCGTCTTCGACCTCTTCCCTTGGTGCAGGTAGCGGTGGCATCCGGGCTCTCCAGGTGATATCATCCTGGAAGTAGCCGTGCACCCTCTGATAGACCGTAGCTTCCTGTCGCGCTTCCTGCAGCCAACAGTAGACGCCATCCCATAGCCACGGCTGGTATGGAATACCTAGCTCTCGAGCTAGCTGCTTGGCGACATCCTCCGCGTCGTCTAGGTCCACCACTGCTAGCTCCAAGACCCCAAACCCCTGGCTGGAGAGATGCCGGTAGGCCCTGTCTAGCGTGCGCCTACGTTCCTGTTGGACCGTAGCCTGCGCCTCTAGCTCTGCCTCCATCTCCCAGCCCTCGAACAGCACTCCCGTCTCTTCGGGCTGCGGGTCGCTAGCTGGGGTCTGCGGGACCCACGAGGGTACCTCCCCGGAAGGAGCCCCCGCGGTATCGTCCTCCCCTAGCGTGGGGACCTCGGTGGGACACGAAGCACTTAGCGGGGGCGGGGAATCCCCAACCACAGTAGCGCAGTCAGCGGCCGTAGCTGCTGCACCATCTGGCGTGGTCGGCGCCAAGGTAGCGTCGCTGTCCGACATGGCGGCGCACCCTAAAGCAGGGCTAATTAGCCCTGTTCCCCTTCCTACCCCCACTCGAAATTTGCCCCCCAATAGCTGGGGGCCTTTCAGCACAATGGCCACGGCGTAGCGCTGCTTCACCGGCCATGTGCAGTCACTCTAGCAAACAGACAAGCTTCGTTCTGTTTAGCTTCAGAGGAAAACCCCTTCGACGTTTTCTAGCGAAACACCTTCGATGTTTCCCAAAGGGATACTAGCGCTAGCATACACTGTCGTACCTCGTCCCTCGGCACGAGTGCGAAACTCCGAAGCCTAAGCCTGTGGCTGCACAGTTTGAACGCTGGACGCTCCTCCACTGCATGACTGTCAAGTTCTGAGTAGGGAATGGGGGAATGGGTTATGGGAATACTATTGGGGATTATGTAGGGACTACTATAGCCCTAACCCCTAAACCGCAAACCCTAAAGCCTAACCCCTAAATCCTAAACCCTAACACCTAAACCCTAAATAGGGACCACCATGGGGATCCATTCCCCCATGCCCTACTAACAACCAGACAGATGATGAGAAGCTACCGATGCACCCTCTGGAATCGACTCAAGGCTCCGGATCGGGTAATATTGTTGAGAAGAACAAAACATATTGAAAAGAATAACAACAATATTACTGTTACTAGTGAGAATAAAAATGTTATTCAACATACTAATATTATTGAGCTTTTGGGACTTACGTGTGGCACCTAGGATTGGGGCCCAAGTCTTAGGTTACAGTGCACGGGCCTTCGGGCTTCGGGTTTGAGAGTAGACGCTGCCAATACTCATGGCATCTCCGCATGGCAAGAATACCACCCTTCTCTAGGCCATGGGCCATCCGAGACGATCCAGGATTATGGAGGAGCTACATGTTCGGTGAGAGGTGAGCGCAAGGATCAGAAACGGCGCAGAAGCAGTTGCCTTCTTATTTTGGTTGTGCGTTCAACGTTCAGTGCTTCTGGCAAAAATTTTCAGGGTGTGGTGTCGGGCTTAGTGGCTTTGACTTGGCCTAACATGCCACGACTGTAAAGTACCGAAGCTATAGCCGGAGAGTATATCTCGACCAGGCGACCTCACGAAAATCTGCAGATGAACTCGACATGTTGTCGTTGAGGTGATGTTCAGTCCGGGCAGCTGCTTCACAACCTCTAGACGTTTTGCAGCCGAACTCTTGTTTAAGTGTTGTTCCGAGAGTTCCGCCTCGACGCTATCAATAGACCTTGAAGTGTAACACACGCACCTCATTGTAGCACCTCTCCTGGATCATTCAGTTTTTATGGCGGTCCAAAGAAAGGACACAGGGAACCAACTAAAAGGCCTTTTAGAGGCATAGGCTTTGGGCTGTCAGCCACGGTCTAAGAAGGGGTTTCTGTTGTTAAGCTTGAAGACCGGTGTCCGAAATTTCGGGCTTTGGGTGCAGCCATGCTGCCCCCGATCCGTGCGAAGCCTTTGTTGGCATCTCCGACAGCGATGCGGTTCGCAGTTTCCTCATCTTGCAGCTCTGATTCTTGGCTTTTAAGTAACCAGTGAGAAAAAAGTATAAACTCTTATTTCATAAGGGTTCCTTGAAGGAAAAACGTATTAAAGTATGGTACTCCGAAGCCCAGCATTCGTTTCGAATCCATTCTAGGGTCGCCCCGTTTCTGAAACAAAAAATAGCCCACCGATCCCTGAACTCTGAACCTTAGCAGTCCCTAATCCCGAAAACCAAAGCCCTAAACCTTTCGGATTCGGATTAAGTTTCAGCGTTTGAGAGCAGCTGATACGCAAACACATCTGGGCAACAAACCCTGAGAACCCCAAAACCCCCAACCCCCAAATCCTAAAACCCTACAAACCCTCAAAACCCTCCTAAAATCCTCCTAACCCTCCTACAACCCTCAAAACCCTCCTAAAACCCCGAAACCCCGAAACCCTACAAGATCATGACCTTCTTCCCTCTCCCTGTCCCTCTCCCAGTCCTGCATCCGAAGACCTCGGGTCTGACAGATATATAAATTTTGCATTACCTTAAGGGTTTTAGGGTTTAGGGTTTAGGGGTTTAGGGGTTTAGGGTTTAGGGTTGCTTTTTTTTAAAGCGCAATGGCTCTTTCTGCTCAGCAAGAGAAGGTCGAGCCGAGCCTGCCTTACAGGCTTACACGGGTTTAGGGTTTAGGGTTTAGGGTTTAGGGTTTTAAGGGCCCTAAACTATGGGATTTATGGTACATTCCTCATTATGGGTAGTGCAGGATTTATATCATCAACAGTATGATTGGCAAGCCCAGGGCCGTGCCGGGGGCGTCTCTTTGGGAGGGGGTTTTGAGCTGGTGCTTAGTGGGGAATGGGGGAATGGATCCCTGCAGTAGCCCCTATTTAGGGTTTAGGGTTTATATAAAACTGTTTAGGGTTCATGTCCAGAGTTTTGTGCGGGTTTTGTGCGGTTTTGACCGGGTTTCGCCTTTTGCTTTTGCTGGGTTGATTTGGATGCCGTGGTTGCTTTGGTGGGGCAACGGCGTTGGGCGGGTTTTGCATTTTGCTTCTGCTCGGCTGCACATCTTGCTTCAATCGGCTTCTTTGACTGCAGTTGTGCCCTTTGCCGGGTTGATTTGGATTCCTTAATAAACCCTAAACCCTAAACCCTAAACCCTAAACCCTAAACCGCTTAGTTGCTTTAGTGGAGCTTTTCGATTTGGATTCCTTGGCTGCTCTGGTGGGCCTTTATGATCGGCCTTGCGAGCTGAGCTACTGCGGCTGCTAAGCAATTTCTATTTATCCTGGGCTTGAGGGTTTAGGGTTTTTTTTTTTAAAGTGCATCGGACTTTTGATTACTCGCCAGCCCGCCTCTTTCAGGCGTGCACTCAAAGTTAAGAAAACAGTCCCTCAGACTAAAGGCACTCACTCGTCGGACTTCAGCTTCACACTTCACCCGTCACGGCTTCGACTACGTTCGCGGACGTTGTCAGGTGCACTTCCACTGTGTTGATCACTTCGTCGACGTAGAGGTTGTTCAGAAACGTTTCGCCGTCGCCGTGATTGTCGTACTCCTGCTGATTCGCGATGTCCACGAGGTCCTCGAGGAGATGCTTGTTCACGACGTTGGCGCGGTTCACGATGTCGAGGGCGTGGTCGTGGTAGATGACCTCGTCGACGGGACGACATCCCACGTCGTTCCATTTCTTGTAACATATCCAACGGAGTGACATTTTCGAGCCCTGTGGTGTTGACCATCGTGTTTTCGTCAGCTTGAACAAAGTAGAGACTGGTGCTGGATGTTGCATCTTGAGGACCAAGTGCTCGACCATAACCATCCATATGACGTTGCCATAATCTTCGACGGAGGGCACCCCATGCGTTGTTCGGGAGGTGCGGCATCATATACGTCAGATCGTGAGGTCCTGGGAGGTTCGGTTGTAGTAGCACGTGGGCAAAGTCCTGCTCGTCCACAACGTCAGGCACCAGTTCTCCGTCACGTTCACGCGAGACCCGCATAATGTTTTGCCATATTATCCGTTCTTGTAGTCCAGCATTCCACGGACGTCCTCCTCCTTTGCACAGGAACAGAGGACTCAGCAAGATTCCTCATTCGTGAATTGGTCTCATCTGTACCACCTCGGTTATGCCTTTCCTTATCATCAAGGCTTGGTGCAGGATCAGCATGATCATCAGCCTTTGGAGGACCAATCTCTTTCTCGTTTCCCGAGTCAGCTTGTGCGTCAACATGTACAGCTTCAGCACCTGCACCTTCATCCATCAATGGCTGTCTCTTGTCTTCAATCTTCACCCTACTCAGCCTGGACCTCTCCTTCATGCGTATGATGAGTTCCATTGTCTCCTGGTCAACTGGAACTGATCCATCCTCTGTAATCCCCATCAGGCCGGGAATCAAGTTGTCAACAAATAAGGATGGCCGTGAGCCAGCAAAGAAGATACACCCGTCCTCATCACACATCATGATGATTGCATCAATTGCCCAGCTGTACGGGATGAAAACGCTGCAGGAAAGATCATATTCATGACCAGGTGCACCATCAAACCCAATTGGTTGTGCCTCTTCAGTGGGTATGATGTAGTTGATCACCCTCCTGCAATGAGTCTGGACCCAGTTCTCCTCTGATACAACAGGGATTTGACCTCTCATGATCATTCCATGCAAGGCATCCATTGTCTTCCACCCATCACCATCAATCAGCACAAATGGTTCAGGGTGAACTGACCACTCAACACCTGAGATGAGTGTGACCGAGTGTTCGGTAACCCACACAGGAGTATATTTCCCTTCCCAGACACTGGGGGCCTGCCTTGCCAAGGTTTGCACATGATCTCCATCATACTTGGGTGTGCTATGCACACATCCACCAGCAAGATAGGTAACATCACCCACATTGATGAGTGATGCTGCCCAAGGCTCAAAGAGGGTGCATGTTGTACCACGGAGTTTTGCCTCATGCCTGGCAAAGATGTTGTAGACCTTCACCACAACATCGTAGTTGAAGATGCTCAGTACAGTATTGGGGTCCTCAAGGATTCTCAAGCTTGCAGGTACCGTAATTACTCTTGGCTTTGGGGTCCTTGAAGTAAGAGCAAGAGCCAAAATCGCAGCTACCGTGCCAGCTGGAAGGTCTGTTAAATCGAAGTCATGAACCGAGTAGTTTGAGCCCCGGTTTATGGTTATGAAAAACCATGCCAGACGGAGCCTTCTAGACTTGTCATTGCCAGAGACAGTGAATGTATCTGTATCGATTAGCTTGCTGCGAACATCCGTGTACAGCTTCATAAAATGCTCAGAGATATCCTCACCGGCAGGGCGATCCAGCATAAGTCCAGCGAAGTTGGCAATGTCAATCATCGTGATATGATCCGGTATGTTCACATGAGATGTAGATGCATGAGAGCTGGCAGATCTTCGAGCAGAGCTGCTGGGGGCATCAGGTGCCCTCGCACGCTTGGGTTTGGATACCCCTGTGGCATACGGAGTCACCCCTGGTTGGGGGGGGAGTCCAGCAGCTTTCTCTTGAGCTCCCATAAGCTTCACATCCTTATCGACCTGCTCCAAGTAGGTAAGATCACTCTGACCTTCCATAGCTACAGGTTGTCCAAAGAATAGCACAATCTCTGTGGCTAATTGAGACCTTGAGCCAAAATGGCCGTAGGGGTTTAGGGTTTAGGGTTTAGGGTTTAGGGTCTAGGGTTTAGGGGTTAGGGTTTAGGGTTTAGGGTTTAGGGGTTAGGGGTTAGGGTTTAGGTGTTAGGGCTTAGGGTTATAGAGGATGATTCGGGGGATAGGGCGAAAGGGGCTTAGGGGTGTAGGGTCTGGGGGTTTAGGGGTTTAGGAGTTGGGGTTCGGGGGTGTGCTGAGGATGATGAGGACGACGAGGATGGCGATGAAAATGACGAGGATGATGATGTTGTTTGTATACGGGCCTTTATAGATAGAAAAAGGTTCGCAGGGGGGTATGTTCTCCCATAGACATAATCAGAATCGTAGGGAATTGCTTTAACAAGTATTCGGACCCCCGATAGTACCATAGCGGGTAGCGATGAAGACCGTGACCACGATCGTGAACCCAGAATTTCGGGAGGATCCAAAAAGTAGATCCCTTAATGGGGGGTTCCTATAAAGTACCCTTAGTAGTATAGGGCCCCAAATTAGGTAGATCCTCCCGGTGGTCTGGGAACACAACGAGGATGATCGTGGGATCATCCTCTCCGTTCTGGCGAAGCTTCAGGAGGACGAATCACCGCCGCCGCCTTTGTCACCCTCATCTCACCATCAGGGTGGTTGTCAAATTGTGGTCCCTTTTTGGGCACCCTAAATTACTAAGCGCCGTATGGTAAGAAGGACCCAAAAAGGGACCCTAATTTTGACAACTACCCATCACCACTATCCTTGTTCACCACGGTCGTTCGCCACAACGAGCGTAGAAAGCGGGCCAGAAACAACTCTCTCGCTCAGCGTCCGGAGAGGCAGCCTTGCTCTGAGCGCCCCGCAGGCTTGCTGGACGGCGTAGGCCTGATTGAAAGTCGTCAGGGTTGCATGGATTTTGGGTGCAGGGGTCTTGTGACGCTGCTCGCTTCGGCAGCTTGTCTTTGACGACATGCTTCCAGTACAGAATCAAACAAACAACAAAGCCTCAAATGCCAAAAGGACCAGCAATCATCTTCATGGCATCATCATTGTCACCGTCGTCGTTATCCCCATCATCATCGCAGTTGACACTCACACAACCCATTGTCACCAATGCTCATAACAGCGGTGGTCATCGCCGTTCATATCACTAAAGGTCATCACAATCATCATCACCGGCTGTAGCAGCAGGCTCATCATCAGCACCAGCATTGCAGGATCAGCAGCAGCACCGGCAGCAACATCACGCTCAGAAGCATCGTCGATGTCGCCGCCATCACCGTCACTGTCTTCACCACCATCAGCTACACCCTAGAGCCTAGACCCTACTGTAAAGCCGACGATCAAAGCTGCAAAAGTCACTGGTGCCTTCTCCAGCTTACCAGGGACATCCTCGCCTGAAGCTTCCAGGTGCTTGCAGCAGTAGGGGGTTACGGGACATGTTACAATAAAGGCCTGCTGCAAGGTTTTGGTATTGTGCTCGGATTTTGGGCATTTAGGGCTTAGGGTTGGGGTTCAGGATTTCGGAGCTTAGGGTTTAGGGCGCTACAGCTCAGCTCCGATATGGGAGTTTCCGAAAATGAAAATAGGGGGCCCTAACATGGCACCCTAAATAGTAGGATCCTTATTGTAAGGACCCCAGGATCAGGTACCCCAAATTATCGGAAACTCCCATATGAGTGACGATCAAATTCCTGAAGCCCCCAAAGCCCGGCTCTCTTCATCAGCTCTGGGAGGCAAGATCTTTCGAATTCTTGGGGCACAACCCAACCCTGAACCCTGAACTAAACCCTAGACCCAAACCCTAAACCCCAGACCCCACACCTCAGAGTATGTCGAGCTTCAGACTCTGAACCCCCCCCCCCGCCGCCCCAGCAAATAAGCAGAATTTGGGCAGATACTCCCTGGTGCTTAGTAGGGAAGGGGGAATGGATCCCTATAGTAGCCCTATATAATCCCCAATAGTAGTGCCCACGACACATGTTCCACATTCCCCACTAAGAACCAGACAGGGACTATCGATACCCTAAGACCCCTTATAGAACCCCTACAGAAAACCCTTTAAAGGAACCCTTAAAGGAACCCCATTCCCTACCGAGAACCAGACAGAATAAGGTTCACCGAGACAAACCGAAGCAACGAAGCCGCCAAGTTTCACGCTGCTCCCGCCCTGAGGCAGATATTACACTACTAGGTTGGCCCCGTAAAGCCTCTGAAAAATATTCGTAAATAGGGTCCTACTAAGCCCAATAAGGGAAAATATATAATGTCCCAAGGGCCTACCTAGACTATATCACATGGTGTTACAGTATGCTACATTATGTTACACTATGTTACGATATGCTACATTCTGCTACACTATGCTACATGATGTTACATTGTATTACATTGTATGACATTATATGACATTATATTACACTATATGACATTATGTTGCATTGTACTACATTATATTACACTATATTTCATGATATTTCATTGTATTACATTATATTACATTAAAAATATACTACATTACATTGCATTATATTACATGATAATGCATCATATTTTAGTATACTATGATATACTGTATTGTATGCTACTACATTAGCATGGCACACTGAATCTTGCACAGGTCTGGAAGATAAGGGGTCCGAGGCTGCGGCCGACATGCTTGCCTGGGGCTTCACAGGGGGGTTCATGCCATCGGAAGTTAAGAGAGGCTTTAGGGTGTAAGGTTTAGGGTTTCCTTAAGTCCTCAGTCTTGGGATGCGTGGCAATTTCTGAACCGCAAGTAAATACTCATCAGCGTCTTGTTGCCGGCTGGCTGAGGTGAAGCACCCGTCATGCACTCCACACGAAGCCCGTGAAGCTCGACTGCTTGAATAACATTCAGAAGTACTAGCAGTACCAGTGGCCGAAAGCGTGCGAACCCAACTATGCCCACGCGCTGCGGTCCCGGGCCATTCCGCTCCTCGCAGCGGAGTGTCTTTGCCTGGCCACAGCTGGTGAGCTGACTCACCGATTCTTCGGCAAAAGAAGCCAAGCATTCAGAAAGGCAACCCCCAAATTTTATCTCGCTTGATCCCTGCGACGGCGGCGTGAGCAGCAGCAATTCCAGCAATACTGAGACAAGGATTGGCTTTTTGGCTTGGCGATGGCCACAATCGTGCCGATGCTGATGCTTTGTATCAAACCTGCTGCTGGTACTGCTATCATTGCTTTGGTTATGATGGCATCAATGTTTGTTCACCAGCTTGTTCCCGGGTATTGCATTACAGACGGAGCACACCCACCTAGGCTTCCCCTAACACTTCCCAACACCCAACGTAATATCACACCACCTCAAAGACGAAGAGCTCGAGCAAAAATCCTAAAGAATAACGAAGTCCTAGCTATCTGTCTATCCATCCATCATAACTATCTCTCTCTGTCTCTATCCGTCCGTGTGTCCGTCTTTCTCTGTCTCTGTCTCTGTTTTCGTCTCTGTCTGTCTCTCACTATCTATTTATCTATCTGTCTATCAACCTACCTACCTATCTCCACACACGCTAATATTAGCCCGCGCGCTTTCCTGCAGGTTGTGCTGTTTCTGAGGAAAGGCGAGCGACGTTTCAGGCGGTAGGACCATATAAGCAAGCTGTAAACCCGAAAGAGGGGGGTTGGGGTGGGGTGGGGGGGTGGGGGGGGAGGGGTGCTTTCGTACTGATGCCAACAACTTTCTTTGCAACTCCGCAGTCTTGACCATGGCTTGTACCAGAAGTTCCAGGGGCCCATAGACCTTTGCACCCTTCCGGGAAGAAGCGCCGCACTGATGGGACCGACTGCGACTTTCGAAAGCAGCTAGGGAAGGTCTGCTGAGAAAACGTGCAACGCCCTAAGTTTCAAGGCAGTATGATCCTACATAGTCACTTCAAGAAGCATTAATGCAAATTGCTCACATTTGCTGGCAGGCGTGGGTTGAAAACACATTCGAATAATATGCTGCTTGCGAAAACCCACGCGGCCTTTCACATACGTGTGACCACCTATCTACCTGCCTATCTATCTGTTCATCTATCTACCTGCGTATATATCTATCTACCCGTCTGTCTACCCATCCAACTACAGACATAAGTCGATATAACATCATCATGTGTATACATAGCATGCCATTCTACAGCATAGCATGCCATACCATATTCATCATACCATACCATACCACACACACACACACACATTACACACGTTACACATATTAAATACATTGCCTACATTACGTGCACTACCTACCTACATTACCTAAATTGCCTAACCTACATTACATACATTACATTGCACTACACTATATTACGTACATGGCATACGGTACATACATTACATACACTGCGTACCTTACATACATTACATACATTACAGAATTTACATACATTGCATACATTACATACATTGCATAAATTACATACATTACATACATTACATACATTACATACATGACGTACATTACATACATTACGTACATTACATACATTACATATATTACATATAACACATGCATTACACACATTACATTACATTACATTACATGAATGCATGCATGCATACATACATACATAGGTACCTATTTATGTCAGAAAGAGCGCATAACTTTAAAGCACAGTATGGGCCCTGCTACAGCGCAAGGAACGTACTCCGAAACCGTAAACCCGAAAGGACGAAGATCGCCGAAGAGCTTGTTCCCTGCCCTGGCCTTGGCAGCGTCTTCGATGGTCGCTGAGACCTGCCGGCAAGGAAAAATAGAATGGAAAACAGGCACCTCTTCTCAGCGCTCATAGATCCCGGCTTTCAGGTATAAGGTTTTGGGCGTTTGGTCTTCGGCCCACAGCTGAAAAGTTGAGCTCTCAAGAACTCCGGAAACACTGAAACCAAAAACCGTCCGAGGTTGGCACCACTTTGTCCATGTCCCCCTGTATTCGCGGGGCCGTCAGCTTGTACATGGCTATCCTGGTATCGGCTGGGAGTCCTAGCAATGGTCACACCAGTAATTCCAGCAGCAGGAGCAACAGGAGTCGCAGTAGGTAGTAGTAGTAGTAGTAGTAGTAGTAGTAGTAGTAGTAGTAGTAGTAGTAGTAGTAGTAGTAGTAGTAGTAGTAGTAGTAGTAGTAGTAGTGGTAGTGGTAGTAGTAGTAGTACTAGTAGTAGTAGTAGTAGTAGTAGTAGTAGTAGTAGTAGTAGTAGTAGTAGTAGTAGTAGTAGTAGTAGTACTAGTAGTAGTAGTAGTAGCAGCAGCAGCAGTAGTAGTAGTAGCAGCAGCAGCAGCAGTAGTAGTACAGTGTGTGGGGGCAAAAGAGGTCCCACATCCGACCAAGAACGTGCAGTCAATCTTGCTAATCTTTGTCTGCAAGGTTTTGGGAAATTTGTCGGAAGGGTAGCAAGATTGCAGACAAGCTTGCTTCGCTCGCAAGGGGGGCGGGGGTGGGGGGCAAGATTTCACGGTACAATCTTGCTCTAGTGTGCACGATGGGGGGGACCGCGTTCTTGCAATCTTGGGACGCTTGAAGCACTTGAACCACTTGTACTGCTTGCGCCACTTGAGCCACTTGGGCCATTTGGGCCATCTCTCTTCGTGAAATGATGCAAGTGGCGCAAGTGGTTCAAGTGCCGCAAGTGGTGCAAGTGGTCCCCGAAACGTGCACATTAGCAAGATTGCAAAATGTACAACCTTACATGCAATCGAACCGGCAAGAAAAAATGACAGGATTAGCAAAATCGTGTCCCAAAAAATTGTCAAGATTTGCAAGATTCACCAAGATGGGCAAAATGGGCAAAATCTTGGTCCCAAAGAGCGCACTCAGTAGTAGTAGTAGTAGTAGTAGTAGTAGTAGTAGTAGTAGTAGTAGTAGTAGTAGTAGTAGTAGCAGCAGCAGTAGCAGTAGCACTAGCTGGAGTAGTAGTGGTAGTAGTAGTAGTAGTTGTAGGGGTAGCAGTCACAGTAGCAGTAGCAGTAGCAGCAGCAGCAGCAGTAGAAGTAGAATTAGATATTAGAAGTAGAAGTAGCAGTAGTAGTAGCAGTAGTAGTGGTAGTAGTAGCAGCAGTCGTAGGAGTAGCAGCAGTGGAGTAGCAGTAGTAGCAGCAGCAGTAGCAGTGGGAACGGTAGCGGCAGCAGTAGCGGTAGCGGTAGCGGTAGCGGTAGCGGTAGCGGTAGTTGTAGCAGCAGCAGCAGTTGCAGTAGCAGCAGTAGCAGTAACAGTGGCAGTAGCAGCAGCAGCAGCAGCAGCAGTAGCAGGTAGTAGTAGCAGTAGCAATACCAGCAGTAGCAGTAGCAGCACTGGCAATAGCAGCAGTAGTAGCCGCACTAGTACTAGTACTAGTATTGATAGTAGTCGTAGTAGTCGTCGTCGTCATGGTGGTAGTGAGGCGATGCTGCTCCCGGTGCCAGTGCTAGGAAGACGAGGAGGAGGAGGAGGAGGAGGAGGAGGAGGAGGAGGAGCACCAGCTGCGGAAACCCTGAAAAACTGCCGGCAGCACCAGTTTTCTCGCGAAAGCGGCTCTCTCACGGACCTCGACACTGGGCTGCGCACATCGAGCGCTGAAAGTTCCGATGTCATAACACCCCCTTGAAAAAAAAGCACACACTCTAGACAGTGGCCCCTAAATGTTAAACCCTAAGCCCCTAAACCCTAAGCCGAAACCCTAAACCCTGACCCCTAAACCCTAAACCCTGACCCCAGACCAATCGAGCCTTCCTTTTCTCCCTGCGATCGTCTCGGCTTTCGGAGTGCTTGGGACCCAAGGGATCCCACTTGAAACTACTCATGTCGGGGCCTTAATAGGTAGAATAGGGTTTGGGGTTTAGGTTTAGGGTTTATAGGGGCCTTAACAATTAGAATAGGGATTTGGGGCCATCATACTATAAGTTTAATAAGAAGCCCCCAAAATAGTATACCCCGAAAAGTCATACCCCTTATAGTCAGCCTTACAGGCCCCTTCAAAGGAACCCCCAAAATAGTATAGCTAATTATTAAGGCCCCTATGGCACAGTCCGAGCCCCTCCGGGCATCTGAAAGGGATCATCCGCTGAGGCTGCCCAAAAGGTTCTACAGGTGTTTTTTGTGTTTTAATTTAAGCGCCTCTTTTCCCAGGGTTGCACATCCAGCTGTCAGATCCCAGTCGGGAAGGCGGGGAGGGGTTTAGGGTTTAGGGCTACAGTACCAGGGTGTTTGGTTCAGAGTTTAAGGCTTGGGGGGGCGGGGGGGGGGAGCGGGGTAGGGTTGTTCCGCGGTTTCTGGGTTAGGGTAGTCAAGAGTGACCTTTCACGAAACGTAGTTGAAATACTTAGGACTCTAGTTACCCTTATCCCGAAACCCTAAACCCTTAAAACCTAAACCATTAAAACCTAACCTCTAAACCTTTCTCAAAACACCACTTGCGTTTGCAGAGCAACCTTTAGGTGCAGCCACGCATTCAAGCCGCGTGTTCGCAGCCAGCTCCGGCCGTTCTGCCGTGGACGAGACCATAACTGGCTCAAGCCCAGCTTCAGCCAAGTTCCCCCGGATCTTCCAATGATATACATTAATGTAGGAAGCTGATTAAGAAACCGTGGGTCTTTACTAGGGTTCCTTGTATAAATCCTACTATTTTGGGGTTATAGGCCCACGGTTTCTTGATTCCTACATTACCGCTCATGATACGGTAGCGTCCATGAGATATCTCATACTCTACTCAGATCCCTGACAGGATTTTTGGAACATTCCTTCTCTTTGTAAAGGTCAAACCCCTGAACCCCAAACCCCAAATCTTAAACCCTGCACCCATAACCCTAAGCCCTGAACCCTATACCTATACCCTACATCCCAAGCCCTAAAGCCTAAATCCTTCCTCTTTACGGGTTTTCTGGAAAGATCTGGGGAACCCCGGGCCCAGCATTTCCCAACTCCTTCCGATTGCGCATAGGGCGACCGATTGCGCATAGGGCGAGTGAAGGAGTTTATGGTTGAAAGGGGTTAGGAAAAGGTCAGGATTGCGGGTTTAGGGCTTTAGGGCTCGGGGTGGCGATTCAGGGTTAAGTAAGGGCTTGGGTAGGGTTTCGAAATGACGAAGCATGGGGCCACAGAGGCGTTGAAAGGTTGAAATACTCGCTGCTGCAAGCCATTCATGCTCTCCAGATGTAAACTGCAAGGTTCAACTGTTCAACTGTAACTTCGGGTGTCAACTTAAGAGTATATCACGACAACTGGTAAGCTGGAGGTCACCAAATAGGCTCGCCTTCTGTACGAAGGTTCGATCGTCCAAGTTCGCTGTGGCGAACTGAAACTGCGACAAGTCAACGAAGATGGGCAACAATTCTAGGAGCCTGAACAGCCACCAATACTATACCTTACGGCTCCTTCTTCTACATAAACTACCCTTATTACAAATATACTATACTTCTTACACATACATACCAGAATATATCGTATGCCCGAAAGTTAAACTCCCCCCGCAGGAAGACTTGCAGGATGGAGTCCGTGCGCATCATGTTCTGAGGCGCCGGGAGGTCGATATGACTTCGACAGGGGAATGGCGTTCCACCCCCCGGTGCTCACCGCACCAGGTGGCGGGACACAGGGGTGTTCCACGCCTCGGTGCTCACCGCACCATGCGGCGGGATAGAGGGTTCGGAAGTACTTCAGACTTTGCGGATTTCCGACTGCTTCTTCGTGGGGCCCCCTCTCCCGGAAGCAATCCTAATTATAGCTGTCAGGCGATAAGAATCCTGTTCGGACTCTCTGCACTGAAGGCCCACTGTTCATGTGTTATGCTGTCCTTGCCGTCGCTGTCGGCGCGCCTTCCGCGCCATGTGCTTGTCCTGTGCAAAGCGATGTCGTTTTGTGAAGTCGGAGACATCAGATCACTGGGAGCATCTTTCTCTTCAAAGGGTTTAGGGCTCTAGAGCTTCAAGGCTCTCTAGCTTTGGCTGATACTTCGGCTTCTGCTGCTTGCTTCGGCTTCTTCATCTGCTACTGCTGTCAGGCTGCGGCTGCTGCCAAACCTACGAACGTCGCGTAGCACTGCTGCCACCAGTAGTTCAGCAGTTCCCATGACAGTATAACACTGCAAGTTGGCAAGCTTTGGGCTTCCTGGGATGTTGGGGACCCTGCTCTTAGTCTTCGTCGGAGTTACATACTGGAGGGGCCTGAATAAGTATAGTATACTATAACTACCATAAGGAACCCCCCAACATAGTATTGGTAATGACTTAGTCCCCTATGGTATCCCTCAGGCCTTCTTCTTGCACGCAAGTGCCGTTTCGAAGCTGCAGAGATGACAGAAGGAACACGCCGCCCCGCGTGAGCAGGAGTTCGCATGCATCGTGAAGAACCTGCACGGCCGGCAAACTCCGTTGGCATGCGCCTGCCGCATGTCCCGCCTGTCCACCACACCTGTCTTTGCAATCTCCAAAGCTTCTGGACCAGACTTCTGCCAGTCTTCGTCTCCATGTGTGGCCGGTTTTTTGGCGGCCAAGGATTCTGGAAGTAGGCACGTGAAGCGAGGCTCGGAAGCGCACTTCCGAAGTGGACTAACCACTTCTTCTTCGTCCGGAAACTGCAGGAAGGTGTTTTTGACTATGGCATTGGATAAGCCTTAGTTTGCGAACTTCGGCGACTTACGACACAAAAAACAGGGCAGTACCAGTTTAGGAGTCTCCTTCCTTCCCTTACATCCCGAAGCAACCTCTCCAGTGTCCCCTCATCCTAACTTCGCAAGCAAAGAGAAGGTGCGCTACGCTGAAATCTCGACGAGAAGCGGAAGCGAGCACGCAGAAGCGACTCCATCGGACCGAGTTCGATGTTTGAGCTCATGTGGCCTCGGGGCGCCTCAATCACAAGGACCCTTAGGGGGGTAGGCGGGTAGGGGCCTCAATAGCCATAATCAGGACTTAACAAGGCCTATTTAAGGAAGTATAGTCCCCTACTTAGAGGATCATGGGACTTAGTAAGTAAGGTTATGAGTCCCCTAATTGGGGTTATAAGTAATTATAAGTATAGTTACCTTATTTATAACCCTAGTTACTAAGTCCCATGAGCCTTTAAGTACCCCCCTCCCCCTTACCTTTGTAAGGGTCCCTATGACTCCACAACTCTTCCACTTGGAGCTTCAGGGTTGTTTTGGGGAGGGGGGGGGTTGTCTGTTTTCCAGCTGCAGTAGAGTAAGGCTTCCTTGCAAGGAAGAGTTTGGCTTTTGAGGGTTTACTTAAAGGCTCATGGGACTGAGTAACTAGGGTTATAAATAAGGTAACTATACTTATAAGTACTTATAACCCCAATCAGGGGGCTTATAACCTTACTTACTAAGTCCCATGATCCTCTAAGTAGTGTTCGGGGCACTAGTGTTGTAAGCGTCGCTGCTGGGGTTAGAAACAAAGAGACCTACCTTTACATGTACTAGATTCAAGTGCCCACGATCCTCTAAGTACATCGGGGCCGCTGCTCCAGGTACTTAGAGGATCATGGAACTTAGTAAGTAAGGTTTTCAGTCCCCTAATTGGGGTTATAAGTCTTTATAAGTATAGTTACCTTATTTATAACCCTAGTTACTAAGTCCCATGAGCCTTTAAGTAGACCCTAAACCCTAAACCCTATAGATCCCTTTAAGGAACCCCTAGTTACTAAGTCCCATGAGCCTTTAAGCACAGGAAGTAGCTCAAAGTTTAGGTGACTTCAAGCCCTGGGGGCTCTACGACGCTTGGAGATCGCTGACCGAGTAAAGTCTAGGTTGTAGCATATTATGGTATATCATCGTATATTATAATGTACGATAGTGTATGATAGTCTTATATAGTAAATATCGGAGTATATTATAGCATATTACCGAATCTTGAAGCAATCCAAAAGCGAGGAACGACCTTCGCCTGGCCCCGCCGGCAACGAAAATAAGACCCGAGCACACTGTTGCTGCTACTGATACCCACACTGTTGCTCCACAATCACACAGCCCCAAAACCCTAAGCCCGTATCGAACTTATATAGCACCGGTATACTGCCCTGTTGAAAGCCCTGTAAACTTGAGATGCAAGAAGCAAAACCTGACTCCGAGACCTTGAGATACCGGCTGGTAGGGCATCCGCGTACCTTGCTGGAAGGCCAGGGCCCTCTGGTCTGCAGCCTCCGGACTGCCCTGTGCCAGCTGGGAATTTCCCTCAAATTAGGGAAGTGCGGTTTTGGGACGGGGGGGGGGGGCATTGGGTTCGGGGTTTTAGCGCTTCAGGCTTTCGGATTGGGCCTTAAGGTCTAGAGTCTAGACGGCGACCTTGCACAGCTCAGGATTTGGGTTTGGGGTTCAGCATGTCATCGGGCTTCCTTGCCGACGACCCCTAGACATAGAACCCTGAAGTCCTACTCCTACTCCTACTCCTCCTCCTCCTCCTCCTCCTCCTACTACTACTACTACTACTACTTCTACTACTACTACTACTACTGCTGCTGCTGCTACTACTACTACTACTGCTACTACTGCTACTACTACTACTACTACTACTACTACTACTACACTCTCAGCACGAAGATTACACCCCTAAATCGTCGACCCCAACCGGAACCTGAAGCCCTAAAAAAGGGCCTTAATAATTAGAAAAGGGTTTTGGGCCCATTAATTACACTATACTTATAATCAGGAACCCCCAAAATAGTATAGGTAATTATTCAGGCTCCTAGAGTATATCCAGGCTCAAGGGCTTGGGCCTCGTCCGCGACGGGATCCACCTTCTCACCAGGATCCCACCTCAAGGCAACGGGATCAAGCAGACTTCGGTTTAGGGCTTACAGCTTTAGGGTTTAGGGCTTAAAGTTTAGGGTTTAGGGTTTCGGGTTTAGGGTTTGAGGCTCAGGTGACTTGCGCCAAACTCATAAGTGGATGACCGGACCTGGGTCGTCGAATTATGCGAGTTGGAGTCTTTTCATTCGCATCTGCAGACCTTGGCGATCCGAAACCCTAAACCCTAAACCCAAACCGAAACCCCAAAAATCTTAACCATTACGCGATACTCACCCTTCGGCATTAGGCATTGAGACCTGACTCTGACTACGAATACCCCGAGACGAGGATTCCAAAACTTTGGACATATCCATAGGAGTGCTTAGAAGCTCCCCCCACCCTGTAATAGTGAATATAAGGATTATATTAGGGCCCTATTATATTCCTATTATACCACTATTACAGGGTGGGGGCAGCTTCCATAGGAGTGCTTGCGTGGCCTGACCCAGCTCCCTTTTGTTCACGTAAGAACTCCACCGAAAGTGTCCTTGGACCAAACCGGCATAGCTGCATCTCGGTATGAGACCCTGCCAGGAGGTTCCTATGGTTGCTGCTGGTGCTAGATAGTATGATTGGCCAGGCCTGCTGGCGACGCGTGTTTTCCGATTCTGCCAGTGGTCGTCATCATCACTGGACCTAGACCCCAAACCCTGCTCTGTCGAGGATCCCGGCGCACTGTAGTGGGGCACGATGGACAAGTCCTGCCCGTAGGTCTCAAGTCTTCTTTGGAGCGGCTTCCGGGCTCATGGCCTACTTAAACCTAAACCCCATTTTCACAATGACAGTACCTATCGTAAGACTGAATGACACCATCGAAAACCAACAATACAAGAACAATTATAAGAATGACGCTGAAGAAGAAGAGAAAGAATACGACATCATGTAGCAATACTAACTACATTAACAAAAACAACAACATTTACAATAAAATCGCACTTACAATAATGAAACGAAGACCAATAACAATATAACTGACACCTGAGCTGTGCAGCAGAATTCAACATCGCACGATGTTGAAGAATTGGGTCCACATTAGGCACACGGCAGAGAGAACTCAGCTTGGCACGGGAAGTCGCAACACGTCTGTAGCAAAGAATAATGATGACCATGATGTTCACGATCAAAAGGCCCTTCATGCTGATGATGGTGATGATGATAATGATGATGATGGTGATGATGCTGATATTTAATGATGTGATGGTGATGGTGGCGGTGGTGGTGGTGGTGGTGGTGGTGGTGGTGGTGGTGGTGGTGATGGCGATGGCGATGGTGATGGCGATGGCCGATGGCGATGGGGATGGTGATGGTGACGGTGATGGCGATGGCGATGGTGATGGCGATGGCCGATGGCGATGGCGATGGCGATGGCGGTGGGGATGGTGATGGTGACGGTGATGGTGATGGCGATGGCGATGGGGATGGTGATGGGGATGGTGATGGTGATGGTAATAATGGTGATGGCGAGGATGGCGCTGGTGCCGGTGCCGGTGCCGGTGCCGGTGCGGGTGCTGGTGCTTCTGGTGGCGGCGGCGGTGGTGGTGGTGGTGGCAGCAGTGGCGGTGGTCTTAACAGGGCATCATCATCGCAATCAACGTCGTCGGATTGGTCCGACTGTCCTTTAGCTCCGCGGGCAAGTCGTGCAAGTAGATCCGCTCGGCCTCACCTCAAGCTCACATTTTGCAGCAAATCGCGTTTTAAGGCGTCAGGTTAAAGAGTAGGGGGCTTTCAAAGCACTGGATTCCGAGTTCTCATGCGAGCTTCTGGATGACAAAAACCTGCCCTGTAACTTCCAAGGGCGTCGAAAGAATCCCTGAAAGACCAAACCAAAGACTCCGGGAATGTTTGAGGAGAGCGACGCTTGAAACCTGACAGAGGAATCTGACCGATCGGGTCCGGCATTGGGGGCGGGGGTCTTTCCCGAAAGCTGGCGAGCTCAAAACCGAAGTCCGGTTTAGGGTTTAGATTTTAGGGTCTGTTTTTTTTTGAACGCCTTTTTCCGCCTGCCGAGACGGAATCCCTTCAAGGGAAAGCGGTCCTTGCAACCTGGCCTTCCCTGGTACTTCACTCTCCCTCACCATCAGCTTCGTCCTCATCTCGATCGTAGCACGTCTCTGCAGCACCCTTGTGGTCTCCATGGGAACTGCCCACACTCGCTTCACCCATCAGCCCTGCATCACCGTCCATCATCAGGTCTTGTCCACCAAGGGTCTAGGGTAAACCTCAACACTGGAACCCCAATGAAATCCAGAAACGCCTGAAGGTAGTGGTCTCGGAGAGAAGGGAACATCGTAGGATCCCTTCGTAGAGAACCCTATGCCTTATGCAAAACAAATAGCCCCGAGTTTAAGAAACCCCCAAATCCCTGTAAGACCCAATATAGACCCTTGTACCCCATCAAGAAATACAATCCTGAAGCCATAAACCTAGAAGAAAGCACACAAACGCCCCATAGAGCCTTTGTATAAGTGCCGGCAGGGACCATAAAAGCATGCAGGGCAACACAGGGGCTGCGGGACAACTCTTCCCCGACCGAGGTTTAAGTTTTTGTACCACCGAAACTGCTTTGAGAGAGGGAAAACATACGTGACAAGCCCGTATGCACTGCTGCCAGGCGGGTGGTTTAGGTTTCCTCTCATTCTGAAAGATGAAGGCCTGGAAAACCGCGACACCCTGAGCAACCTGGGCCCCTGATTCCTGCCTGGAGCAGGCAAATGCGAACCTAAAAGCATGGTTCTGCTACAATACTATACTCTACTACACGACACTATACGGGAGTTTCCGAAAATTAGGGGTACCTTGTTTTGGGGTCCTTATAATAAGGATCCCACTATCTAGGGTATTTTCGGAAGCTCCCATACCCTACTATACTCAGCAATCTACTCTACCTAAACCCTAAACCCTACTACACTACACTCTACAAAACTAAACCATCCGGCCAAGGCGAGGGCCGTGAAGATGCTTTCGCCGTGCCGATCCACCATCCCGAGGCCAGCAGCCCTCGACCAGCTCTGGCAGCAGGGCGCAACGGTGCTTGGGGCCTTATAAAGGG